AACTATTTGAACAAAAGTGTGTTGCAGTTCAGTTTTAATGTTTGACCAGGGTAGACAACCTATATTTAGGCCTGTTTTGTTTTATATTATTTATTTATTTTTTTACATTTACATTTACTGTTACACTTCTAATTGCACCAACAAATTAAAGTTTTGTTGTTTTTGCATGTTTGACCAACATTGTGAAGCTAGCGGTGTATTTAGTTGTGCTGAACCGGTGCAGAATTATCAAATAAATTTGTGATTCAGGAAAGAAAAAATGTTCCAAGTCAGTTTTGATTTCTGTATCGGATCGTTATCGACTGATACTAAACCTCAGAAATTTGTGTCGGTATCGGAAGTGAAAAAAGGTTTACAGCCGTAAAACCAGGCGCCCAAATGCTCCTGAGCTCTGCTTTGGTTGCTAGGTGACGCCCTGGGTTCCACTGGGGTTGCCAGGCAACAGTCTGGAGGTTTTTGAAACTGCTCATTTTCCTGACACCAAAAACACCAACTTATTGCCAAAAATGTGATTTTTTTCAAAGCATTTTTTAAAAACTCAAATAAAAGTATAAAAACAGGTGAATTTTGCATAATAAATCCAGTTTAAATGAAACACGGTGCCAGAACTCACCCTGAGACTTGAGGTCTTTTTATCCTCACTGAGTCTTCGTCAGAGTCGCTTCTCTCCGCAGCCTTTGAAAACGTCTCACTGTGTCTCTGAGCAACTTGCTCCTCAACGCTCTCCTTCTCTCTGCCTCCTTTGTCTCCTTGCCCTCCTCCTTCCTTTCCGAGCGTCCGCTCATTCTCCACCTGCTTCCAGCTTTTCGTCAGAGAGGACACCATGTTGGAGCACTTCCTGCGGCGCGTCGGGGAGCTCTTCTTCCTCAGCAGGCGGTCAATCTCATCACCCGAAGGAACAGATTCCCTTTTCAGCTTTTCAGCCAGGAAGCCACACCTGAGTGACAGATCAATTGACAGCGCATACGAGAGAATTAATGTCAAATTTTATGGTTTTAGAATGGATTGAAGAAGTTGAAGAAAGTTAGAATTTGTTCAGACTAAAGTGGTGCGTCAATAAGAATTCACTCATAATTCTTATCAAAATATAAATTCAGATTTCAGGAGAAAGATTATTATTCATGCTGGTCTGGATTCCTGCTTATATTGGAATTGCAGGAATTGATTTGACTGACAATTTTGCTAAAACCTCTATTGTGAGAAGTTGCTACTTTTACTTGGGTAAAATTTCTGGATTCTCTACCAACTGAATGAAAAACAAACCAAAAATTCACCAGACACAGACCTGCAGTTTCTGTTCCAGTTTTATGTTTGTTACTAGAAGAAACTGATCAGGAACGGTTTTCTTTAGTCTGATTTTATTTTTTATTTTTTATGAATTACTCTCATTAAAATACTTTAGATTTTGTTTCACCTGATTGTGTAATTTTTAAATATGAAATTATTGATAAATTGATCAGTACTCAGTGAGTAAACTTTTACCAACACTTTTTTTTTTTACTCTTACTCTTATTTTTTACTTTTATGTTGCACTAGTGCTACTTGAATAAAACTTTTGGAAACTACCAACTCTGGTAATGATATTTTCTTATATTAATATTATGATCAATCTGGAAGGTGGCGGTAAAGCACCGTAGATTGTTTCCCAACCACCATTAAAAACAGAAGAAGAAGAAGAAAAAGCCACCTGTGATTTTCTCCTGGACGCCGCTGGACACCGTCTTCACCACCTGCTTTGTTCTGATGCAAGATGGCTGCCCGTTTGAGGTCTGAACGCCGTCGTCGCTGGGCGCTCCTTGAGATGTTCGAGTCTCTGAAAGTGCTTTTGTAGAGTGAGGCTCTTTAGGGGCCCATCTCTTTTTGGGTTCCCCTGGTTCGTCGTGGGACGACGGCGCCCAGCCGCTGGGCTCGCTGGCTTGTTTCTTCTCGTTTTCCGCCACCCACTGCTGCCAGCCGCTGGTCAGGCTGCACAGGCTCACAGCCTGCAGCTTCCTGCGGCTCTTGTTGGTTGAAGCTTTCCTTTCAGAGGTCTCACCAGTTGTTTTTTCAGACATTTTTCAAAGAATTCAATAAATAAAACTTTTTTGCATGAATTTCTGGAGATTTCTCTCCGTGTGCTGGTTTCTAGCCTCACGCTTGCAGCTGTAGCCTCTAAAATAGACACAGGAAACCGAAACATGACGGTGGAAAGTATTTCAGTCATCCCAGGCTTCCAACGGGGTCATCTTACTCTGACCTCGATGACCCCTACCCATGGGGTCATGTTTCATCACAGATAGCAGAGCTTTTAATCAGCTGTAAGCAGGGCAATGGCGAGTCATTCGATGCTTTTTATTTTTTAAACATTCAAATATTTTTTGACAAATTTTGAATCAAAATTAGAATTTGTAACAAAAACAAAACAAACAAAAAAGCTCAAAAACAGATTTGGAAACTGTTTTGGTGCCTTATTCGGTAAAATGTGTTTGCTAATGAAAGTTACAGTACTTTAGTAGGTAAAACTCAAATTATAGTGCATTAACAGGTATAATTATAAAGAATTAGGCATGAACTGATGACAAAGTAATAGGGTTTAATACGTCTTTTGCCCTCTACTCCATGTAAATCCTAGAATGTCATAATTTTCAAATACTTGAGCTTATGACTCTTATATAAAGTACAAAATGGGGCTTTGGGGCTGCTGCCACTAACTTTTGGCCCAACTTCTAACTACTTTTATTAGGAAAGTGTCATGAGCCATCACTTATCAAGAAGTGGAGGCATTCAGAGACTTTATCTGTCTTCAAATTATTTCCTCTTTTAACAAACAAGTCGAACTGAAATGTGCTGTCACTTCGTTATTACATAAAGACGTAACATCTGGTCAACATCACTGTTTTCACTAAACCAGCTGCTTAAAAGCAAAATTTTTGGGACGGGTTTGCTCTTTTGCTTCACATTAGTATTTATTTTGAACAAATATAAAGAAAAGTTGATTAATCTGTAATGGTTATGTGACCTACTTCAGGAGTGTAAATAAAAAGCAGCCATCCAAGGAATTAGCTGAGTAACACCTGGTGAAAAGCTCATTATCATTTAATTAAACAATCAGACGGACCAAAATATAGAGTAAAAGTTAAAAATGTTGGTGTTTTGAGGACCAAAATGACAATAATATATTCCAAACCAGTTTGTTTCAATATAAAGCTTCTGAAACTCTCTAGTAAAGTAAAAAGAACAAAATAACTTTTTTTTTTTCAAAAATTTGCTGAGGTGAATATAACCGTAAAATGTAATTAGTTACAACACAACTCTGCTCAATCAGTTGGAAATACAGGAAGTATGACTTTAATTTATTTGTTAACAAAAACTAGAGTCAAACTACAGCAAAAGGAAAGCATCTGAAGTGCCTCGTGCTATTCTGCAGTTATTCTGGTTTGAGATCTTGTGTTTTATGGTAACTTTGTTATGTAATTGTTTAGTTTTCATCTGTGTGTTTACAGAACCAGCTGGTTCATAAATAGCAGCAGCAGCTGCTGGGATCCGTCACAGAAACAAGCCAACACTTCCTGCTCCAGATCTGTGACTTAAAGAAAAACTGAGATCCTGTATGTCAACATAAATATATAAATATGCCAATAATGCGATAAGCTTTGATTTAGGGTTAAAAAATACGTCATAAGCTGCGTGAAAAAGCTTTCAATGAAACTATATTTCCGCGTTATCAGAAAACACTTACAGTAAGTAACCGCAGGCACAAAATGTCTGAGTACTTTAGACTCACATAAAACATTCCTGTTATTCGCATCACAAAAAATGTCATTTTCAGGTAATCAAGGACTTCCTTGTTTGAACTAAACAAGACAGACGACATTCATTAAACTGCAGAAGTTTAGTCAGTACAGCAGTTTTTGTTAATAAATAAAACTACTCATAAAAAAATATTTATAAGAAGATTTTGTGGCTCAAGCAGTCATGCATGTTTTTCCCCACTAATTGGGATTTTCAAGATAAAATAAAAAAAAAAAAACGTAATCTACCACTAGGGGTCAGTAAATATTGTTAAAAGCACCTGTTGCTCAGGCAGAACTTGGTTTCAAATTTATCTCCATAAATTAGAATATTGCTGAAAGTTGATTTGTTTAAGTGACTCAGAAAAGAAAATGTAAATTTCTTTATGCAAAGTTTAATTTATTTTTTCATTTAATTATAACACCATAAACCCGGCAAAGTTCAGGAAAAGCAATATTTAAAGCAAAATGTTATATATGACCATGGAGACTGCTGCTGATGGCAGTTCTCCAGTATAAAATTACAAATACATTGATGGAAAGTTGAGTGGAAGGAAAACATGGCAGACAAAATAAGTAAAAGTAGCAGAAATACCAAGTTTCGCTTTTTAAATTGAATTAGTCAAAGTGTTGGAGGATATTCTGATTCAGATTCACCTGTATGTAGGAAAACAACAAATGGATTTTCACCTTCCCAGCTTATTAAAACATTAAATATTTATGATGAAAGCCAATGGGAATTTAGCGCTGTAACTGCTGCTGATCAACAGTTGTAAACCATAAAATTCAGCACTGATGAATTAAGTGAGCAACAAATGGCGCAAAAGCTCTTGTGAAGTTTGTAGTTAAAGAGGCAGAGGTTTGAATAAACACCTAAAATCTCAGACCAACCTTAAGCTCGGTGGTGGCGGTGTGATGACTTGGGGACGTAGATGCTAAATGTTCTCCAGAGCCATCAAATCGAGGAAGTAAAAAATAAAGACATATGGTTCTGTAAGGGCCCAGTCAAAGTCCAACCTAAACATCTTGTGGTGGGACTTTAAGAAAGTAAACGGCTCCGAGGTGATGTGTTGTAAAAAAAGAGTAAGTTAAAATCTTCTTTTAAATGTAAAGTTATTGCTTTTGTATGGTGTGGTAAAAATGCAGTCTTGAAATTGGGTCTCTGTCTCTTAAGAAGCTCCTGCTCCTTTCAGGCATTTTGCCTTCAGCACACTGTCATGTTTTTCTCTTATGGCGTTTAGGTCGTTGTTCAGCGCATTGCGGTTAAATATTGCATAGGCTCCATAACAAAGACAAGATTCTTACATTTCATCAGTCGACAATTATTGCTTCCAAACGTTTTTTTTCTGATGTGACTTTTGCGTACAATTCTAACCAGCATCACATAAAAAATAAAATAAATAGGACTGAACAACTGATTTATTTTTTTCTTTCCAGCTTAATTTCTACAGCAGGTTTACATTTTTATAAAAAAAAAAAATTCAAATATGACAACAGAAAAAGAAACTGTACAGATAAGCCGAGTAACAGGTGAGGTAAGTTTGTGAGGCGGAGAATTTTGCTTTTGAGTATCAGGACATTTTCTGAAACACGAACACCAAGTAGATACCTGCAAAAAAACAAGAGGGAGTCATTATTCTGCTCAGACGTCGGCTTTATGAAAACAATTTTGACCTTTCGTTACGTTTCTTGATCAGAAAACAAAATGTGATATAATCGAACTTACTGGTCGCGTCCCACTCAGATTTGCTCAGGGTTCCCTGTTCACACAGAAAACAGAGTTAAATCAGGATTATTGGAGGAGTTGAGAGCTGAAGGCAACTCACCACTGGCAGTCTGACTCCAGGTCTGCCGCAGTGCTCTTTAGCATGGCAGTACTGCTCCTTGTTGTCGGCAGCCTGCTGACCTCCATCGTCACAGGGAAAAGGCTGAAGCAGCACAACGGAAACGACAGGAGAAAAAACAGAGAACAAAGTCTTCATTTTTCTTTGAAAAACTTATATTTTTGTTTTTTAATTTTTGCTTCTTGTCGGAGGGTTGAAAACTGATTCATTTTTATGTCTATATATTGATCTAATTTTCTAGAGATATCTTCATCCCATAGAATAAATCAATCATCTTTTATGCAAAACTTTTTTCTTGTTTTAAAACCTAAAGATGGAAACAAATAAAATAAAATAAAAATGACTGGCAAATGTTCAGCATAAAAAAAAAATTTTTAAAGACACCGTAATACTTAATTTTATATTTTTGTATATATATAAATATTTGTTTTTTTTGTTTTCTTCCGCAGTAATTTTTCACAAAGATTTTTTTTTTGCTAATTTTCTTCTGTAAAATTTGCAGAAAAAAAGCTCATTAAGGACTTGCCATACAAGGAAAGACACTTATTTGAAAAACACAAAAATAAAATAAAACTTATTGGTGAAGTTTCTTCATTTTCCAGCAGTAAATGGATGAAATAAAAAAAAAGTTCTTTTTTTTTTTGCTCAACAAGAACAGTTTCTTCTTCCAACAAACAACAGCACTTAAACAAGATTTACATTTATCTAAAAATAAAGGTCTTTTAATCCAGGAACCTTATTTGAATACGGACAAATGGCATCAGATCATCTGAATTAGCCAGACACAAATCAGTCTGACGTTTTATTAAACATAAAATCCGACGTTTCTGTTTGTTGCTGTCATTTGACGTCTCTGTACAGACTGGAAGCGAGTCCTGCATGAGCAGGAACTGCTCCTGTTCTATAAATGTCTGAAGAATGTTGTTCCTCATTTTTAAAGCAAACACAAAAGAACCAGTTTAATTTGTAGAAAAAAAAAAGTAGTTTAAGAAAAAAACATTCTAGCTTTCTGTCACAATTATTGGAATCGTCATAATTTTTAGGAAGGTTTTCCTGTCATTTGTGTTGAGATTTACAGAAGTTTACCTCCAGAGCCATCATCTTCATCATGAGGCTGCGGTGACTCTCCTTTTTCACCTTTTCCTCAAAGAACTCCGAGAACCTCTGCTTCAGCACCAGACGCATGTTGTACCGCTTTGCCATGCTGGAACGCAAGTTTGACAGTATGCATAGAAATCTGAAGCAGCTTTTCCATGAGTAACAACTCAGCTCCAATCCATTGGATACTTGGTGCAGTCTCTGCTCAGCGGGCCGAGGCGAGAAGACGAAAACGTGACGTCAGAAGACCGCCGGTCACTGATTGTCTGGGGGTTATATCTTTAAAGTTGAGGTCAATATGAGGAAAGTTGAGTCGATGAAGAAAGTGCATTTCTGGTGTTTCTAACTGCGTTTCCATTTGAAATGTGTGCAAAACTTTGTCGAGATTCTGCTACGTCAGAAAAAAATCCTGCAATCTGCGCAGACAGCTCCGCCTGGAAGGATCCAATTCATAGAGATGCAACTGGTCAACATTTAGGCTGGGATATCCTGCGTGTCGACTACAAACACAAAATCTTAACATGTATTTTTATCCAAGTTTCTAGTGCAAACATCTTGTACACTTGAGATACGACAAAACTAACTTACAAGTAACGCTTCATTAAGAAATATGTGCTTTAAGTCAATAATTCCTTAATATCGAAGAGAAAGTTCTCGTTCCACCGGCAGATTATTTCACCTATAATATGAGGAAATGTCATGTTGTATGTAAAATTAACTGCCAGTTGATTTTGAAATAAGTGAAAAAAAATTCTGCCAGTGGAACGACTGCTTTTTAAATCAATATTAAAGACATTTACTTTAAAAAAAAGCTTGTCTATCTTGCTGAAAAGTTACTTTTAAGTTAGCTTTGTCTCACTTCAGGTGTTCAAATGTATTTGCAGTAGAAACCAGGCATAAAAAGTTGGTAGGATTTTGTGTTTTTGCAGTGCAGTTGACCGGATATTCTACTTTATAGCGTCTATTTGGAGCTTGTAGGAACGGACGACATTGAGAGTAACGCAACATTTCTCTGCTTCACGGCTGGTGAGACAATTCAGAGAGAGCGAGACGGAGCGATCCGAAACGAGAAAATTCAGTGTGTCGTCGCATGAAACCACTGCAATGGATCAGAGCAGAGTTCAGCTGAGCAAAATACTCGAGAAAGAAGCGTTACAGGGAATTTAGAAGACAAATATATGCTTTTTCTTGTGTTGATTTCAATAATAGTTAAATCTTACTGTTCAAAAAGAGGAAAGTAGACCAGAAACTCCGGAACATCGACCACGCCCTCGAGGCTGAAGTGGTACTGACATCCAAACAGTGGATAGGAACCTTTGGACTGAAAGGAAACTTTGAAGACTTCGTTTCCAAATGACAGGGAGTCTGACGCCTCCAGACGTTTACTGGAAGCATAAAAAGAACAATAAAGACAAAAACTAAACGTTACACATGCAGTACAGTGGATGGAGGAGTCGCTGCTCTTACACCAGCTCGTAGGCGTCTGGCGTGGTTCCGATGAAGAAGCCTCCGGGTTTGAGACGCTCACAGGCGTTTCTCAGCATCATGTCCGCCTTCTGCTCGCTCTCGAACGAGTAATGATACACAAACTGACAGCTGCAGATGTCGAACATCAGCTCAGGGTCGTCCAGCCTGTCCGACAAAACCTCCTGCACCAGCAGGTCACGAAAAGGGAAACTGGTCTTATTACTGCTTCTATTAACATTTTCAACCAATCACATCTGCACAGATGGACAGATCTACCTTCGAACAGTCGGAGGTGATGAACTGAGCGCTGAAGATTTTCTCATTGGAATGACTTTTTCTTTTCATCTTCGTACCGAGTCCGGCACTGATCCACGGACACTTCAGCTATATCTGAGAAAAACAAAACAGAAACAAACTGATGAAAGTGGGAATGAGGACATCCTCAAGGTACAAAGTAGCGTTCCTTCAGATCCCTCCTGCTATCAGGAAGCTAAAACATTTTAACCACCACTGAGTCTTTATAACTCTGCTTTTATTTGCACTTTTGACCCTCCTGTTAAAATTGATTTTTATGCAATATATTAATGAATTTAGTTCTCTACATGCTCCTACTGGGCTGCACATCACTTTTTGTCTGAATGTTTTTTTTAATAATAACTGCACAGTATTATTTTCCTTATGTTGTAAAGGTCTTGTTACTTTACGGAGTTATCTTAATTACCTAGTAATCTGAATGAGTTAGACATTGCTTGAATTTATGTAAGACTGATTTAGAAAATGAACAACATGTTATAGCATAAACCTGAAAGATTTAAATAGTTTAATAAAAATAATCTACAGAATGTGCCAATGTTTTTATCCGATTAAATCGATTGTCGGAGTAATAATAGGATAATTGATTAATATAACTGTCAGTTGCAGCCTTGCTGCAGTATAAACAGAATTTATTCTGAGGATTTTTACACATGTTCATTTAAAACAAGGTCAAAAGTCGTGGTGGTCACAAATTTTTGTTTCCAAATGTACAGATTAAATAATTTCCAGAGGTGAAACCACCGAGGGGAAGATTGTCTTGCCATTTTGGGACTAAAGTCAGACCAGAGGTCAGAGGTCAGTCTGTGAAGAGTGGTTACCTGCACAGACGATGTGACTGATGCCTCCTCTTCTCCACTTCAACAAGTCTCCTCCTTTTCCACAGCCCAGGTCCAACACAGACACATTCCTGCTCCCTGCGCTTCGCACCTGTCCAGGATCTCCCCTGTTAGCGGAGAAGAAGGAAAATAAACACCTGTGGTTTCCACGATGCAAAAGATTCAGACAGAATCCAGGAATAAATAAATCGAAGCTTAGTGCAAGGCTAAGGACCAGGACATTTATGAAATAATTTAAAACTGTTCTGTATGTTTATCAGTGCCTGGTTGATCTAATCAGTCATGACTCCAACTGATTTCTGTAAAAGACGGAATACATAAAAAACAACAAAGAGTCCTAATTATTATGGAAATGTGAATAAGCTTTTATTTTTTACTAGTTTTTTGTGATATACGTTTTTGTTCAGTTAAACCGAAGCATTTTTAAAAGGGAGATTTTGGACGAGGTTGTTAGTTTTGCACATAATGTTTGAGTTCTTTACAAAAATAAAGGGGAAAACGAGAATCGGGCATTTGTCATATTGTTAATCCATTTCCATTTGATGTTTGAGAAGTCTTAAAATTGTCCCGATTGTTATTTTTTTACTATTTTTCTTCACTGCTTTTTCAAGAAAGGTGTATCAATAAATAGCAATAAATGGTGAAAATATGATTTTATGCAGTTATTGTGTGCATTTTAGTGATAAAAGTCACATTTTTATGATTACAAAGTGGCTTTAAAGAGCAGTATTTGTTTTTGTGGGGCCGTCATAAGACTATTTCATTAGCCAGACAGTATTGATCATTGATCACTTACCAATCAGAACACTCTTCATCCAGTTGTTGAAGTTCCTCATGTAGAAGATCCTGCTTTGACTTCGAACCACCAGTCCGACTTCCTGCAGCGTGTTGTAGTGACTCGCCACCTTTTCACCATGATCGCTCACCTGGATGATCGATAATAGATCAATAACTGCTGTGGGACACTTTAACTGCAAGGCATGGAATAGCCACAGAAGATTAGGATTGAAACGATTAATGTGATGAATAAATTATTGAAATAATTATTAACTGGATTATACAAAGTCAAAAACAGACAATTTTCTGATGAAACAAGACTCAGATCAGTACTGAAGCAAAAAACTGTTCATATATGTATAAATATTTTAAATTTAAGATAAAAACATATTTGTTTGTAAATACGTTTAAGCCAAAACCCCTCAACTGGCAGTTTTAGCTTCACCGGGTTCAAATTCATTAAAATAATGTTACATTATTGCATTTTCTTAGGGGCTATTTTCGAGAGAAAAACAACATATTAAGGATAGAAATTAAGCCATGACTGTGCAAAGTAACATCTATTTTTTTTTTTGAGAAAACGAAAAACATCTTTGTCTGTAATTGTTTTACCCAAAACTCTTCAAAACATTTTTCATATTCACCTGATTCTAATTCACAAAAGATTTCATTTTAGCCAGTAAAACTTTTATTTTAAAAAGGAACTGAATTGCATATTTGGACAATTTCATGTATCTTTAATATTGTATAAAAAGGCATAAGCAGTTAAATGTAATGTCTATAAAATATACCAATTTATTTCATCCCATTCATCAATAGAATTAGTTGCTGCCCTACAGAAGACGGTGACAAGGGTAAGTCAGTGAGCCTACCAGCTTCTTATTGGGGGAAGTTTCTTCCTCAGCCTCCTCTTCCTCATGTCTTCTCTTCATCCTGGTCTTCTGATCCAGTTCTCTTCCTCCTCCTACTTCCTCTTCATTCGCTCCTCCCTGTTTTTGTTCTGCCTGCTCCATTATTTCTGCTAGGAAAGAACACAAGTCAAACTCAAACTTAGAAGCATCAACGCCACAGAATCAGACCATCACATCATTAGAACCTAAAGGTTCTGCTTTTTAACCCCGTCACTATAATCAATCATGTGATAAATTCAAATGAGCTCAATGATTTACAATTTGATTATTAATTTGTTTTTTTAAGTTAAAAAACAGCAACTGGAAGCAAAACCTCCATCTTACCAAACAAACATAAGCTAAATAACAGCAAAAGATGAAAAAGAAAGTTTGAAAAATACATATTCAACAATCAGACAATATTCTCCTATATTTGCTTCAACAAAATCTGTTCTACTTGATCAACTTCTTTCAATTAACTTTATTTTTTTTAAATCTAATGTCTGATTTCAATGACTTCATCTCCAAATTGCTTATGCAAACATTTCAAGTTGCACAGTACATTGAAGTGCAGTACATGATATTAGAAGTGCCAACCTTTTTTACTCAATTTCTATTTGAAAAAACAGATTTTGGCAAAAATAAATAAAAATCCAACCATGTGTCAAAAACCTTTAAAAATATTAAACTCAAATAAAAACAATGATCACATAAAAAGCCATCAGATGAACGTCACTGTCATTTCACTTGGTTTATTGCGTATTATTTATGTTTTGTACGTATTCTGATTTATCTCATGACGGTGGACGTCAGGTTCTGTTGCCATGGAGACGTTGAGCGTGACAACTTATTGACCCCAGATCACTTTTAAACGAGATTTTTAATCCTAATTAGATTTGCCAGTAACATGAAAAAAAATTTAAAAGTCGTGACACAATTGCTGAATTTTTTTTTTTAGAAAAATAACCACCAATCTTTTTCTCACTTTTATATCATCACGATGTCCTTACAACTGATCAAGTATCGATAATGGGCATCAGCAGCGGCAAAAAGTCGAATAACAGGTCAGACGTGTCACAGAGACTCACACCATTGTTAGAAGTTTAATTTGTAAACAAGTCGAGTCGGTTATCACGACTCCCTACGAGACAGAAATCACCATTTTGACTGAAATTAGCCTCGAACTTCCTAGTAGCAGCATTAATACGATTAAAAGACAAATGACGAAAGACTGACGGTTAATTTCCATTTTATTTTCGGGTTTCGTTGAACCCTGGTCTTAACGTATGTATGTAATCCTGGAGGATAATCCAGCCTGTTCTCAGTCACCAACTACTTTCACCTGCGAGCATTAGCGACCAGCAGTTAGCTAGCTTACGCTAACCAGCTTGTTTTCCGTAAATGTTGGGAAAACAACATTTATGGCGCCGAAGATGAATCTCAAATAGGCGGAATTAACGACGAACAGCTGTCTGATGCCAGATGGTACCAGAAACACAGACAGGGTCAAAGCTAAGTAGGCATATTTACGCCAAAAGTTACAAAAAGACACATTTTACTCACTGTAATCTGTAGAAAGTACACATGCGCAGTGGGCAGCTTCCGCTCTCTGAACCGTTTCCTTTCTTCTTGGCAAACAACGATGAGGTGATGCATCATCGCCACCAACTGGCTTGGAGTGTGGACAGGAACGTGTGCGCAAATAAATAAATAAATAAATAAATAAATAAATAAATAAATAAATAAATAAATAAATAAATAAATAAATAAATAAATAAATAAATAAATAAATAGTCTCTCGATTCAGATTTTTTTGTATCCCAAATGGGCAATTGATGTTACAGCAAGTACAAATGACTAAAAGACAACATATCAAAGATTCAAAAATAAAAACAAAACCAAAACATACATAAAAAGGACATAAAATACCAATCAATACATGATGGAAAAAGCACACCAGTGTATTTCATCAATGACTGACAGTTGCCACAAACACCAAATCAGGTGCAGGTCCCTCTAACTTGTCCTGCATTAAACATAGATGTGTCTGTAGGAACAAAAGAGTGCTCGTGTCTGTTACTTTTCTTACTAGGAGGTCTGAGCCTGATGCCAGAAGGCAGAAACTGGAACTCAACAAAGGATGAGAAGTATCAGTAATAATGGGTTTAGTTTTCCCTAATGATTTGTTCAACGTTAAATGGTTGAAGAAGGTGTCATAATATATCAAGCATATATTTCTAGACATTTCCATTAGACTTTTTTTTCTGTAACTCTCTCCTGAATTGGGAAATTGCGCGTTGTTACTTCCTGACAAAGGAAAACGAGAATTTGAAGGGCGTCAGAAAGAAGAGGAGATAAGTAAGTCTACAATGAGAATATCTTACTGGTATCCTACTGGTTTGCAAAATGTCGGAAATATGAGTCAGAGAACATTAACCATGGATTTACAGAGTTTTAGAAAGATAAAGTTGAAGACGTCCTAAGAAACATTTCGATGTGATTCTCATATGATCCAGAGGGTGGCGGTAAAGCGGCAATGTTGATGCCGACAGTCATAAAACCCTGAAGAAGAAGAGGAAGAAGAATACAAAGCGGAAGTGATAGCTGAAAACAATGTCTTCAGTAGAGCTTCGTCGAGAGCTTATAACTCATACTGAAGAAACATTCACAGAGTTTAAAGAAATTGTCATCAAGACCGAGGAAGAGATGGATTTTACCCGGACGGCCTTAAACCGAACAGGTACGAAACACCTGGATGACAGACGGACAGCGGATCTGTCTGTTTACACGCCTGAGTTTTCTTACATGTTGATTTCTGTCTTAAACGATTTCTTCGATGAAGTTAACAATTCCTATTTTTATCTGTTTTATTGTCCAGACCACCTGCAGCATAACATTGATAAGCCATGTAAACAGGAGAGGAGCTTCACTCCAGACCAGGAGGAATTGGAATCTCTGCAGGTGAAGCAGGAAGATGAAAAGACAGAGTATCAGCAAATCAAAGAAGAGCAGGAGGAGCTTGATTATTTGCAGATAAAAGTGGAAGAGGACGAATTTACTACAGTCAGGGTGAAGAACAACTTGCATTGAAACAGGAGGCTGATGCATGTTATGAGCAAACATGTCAGACTGAACCAGAACCACACAGGACTCGAACCATCTTTCAGGAAGCTGCAGAAGCTGAGAACCAAAACCAGGAAAGAAGCAATGATAACAACTTCGAAGCAAAAAGAGATGAAGAGAAGAAACAGAAGAGGCATCAGAAAACCAGAGGGTATGGTGACAGTTCAAAGCAAAAAGGTCCTGAAAATCTTCCTCAAAGTAGTGACGTGAGTAAAAAGACATGTGAGAGGCCTGTCTCAACTAGGAAGCGTTTCAGCCGGAAAGATAAATTAAATTGTCACATGTCAGACCACACAGGCGAGAAACCTCTTCTATGTGTGAACTGTGGAAAAGGTTTCAGTTGTAATAGTGACTTAACTGTCCACATGAGAGTTCATACAGGTGAAAAACCATTTCTGTGTGTCAAGTGTGGAAGGAGTTTCAGTAGAAGAAGTAATCTAACTGTTCACATGAAAGCTCACACAGGTGAAAAGCAATTCCAGTGTATTACCTGTGGCAAACATTTTATTTCAAAAGGTTCTTTGATTATTCACGTGAGAAGGCACACAGGTGAGAAGCCTTTCCAATGTAAGACCTGTGGTAAACGGTTTGTTGATCAATATTCTGTGAATCTTCACATGAGGAGTCACTCGGTGTTGAAGCCTTATATTTGTGTGAACTGTGGAAAAAGTTTTGCTCAGAAACAGAATTTAACAAGTCACATGATGATTCACACAGGTGAAAAGCCTTTTTCGTGTGAGACCTGTGGAAAATGTTTCAGTCAAAAGGGTATTTTAACTCGTCACATGCTGATTCACACAGGCGAGAGGCCTTTTCAGTGTCTGACTTGTGGAAAAGGTTTCAATCAAAAATGTAGCTTAACTGATCACATGACAATTCACACAGGTGAGAAGCCTTTTTCATGCTCAGCTTGTGGAAAAGGTTTCAGTCGGAGGCATGCTTTAACTAAGCACATGAAAGTCCATGTGCTTAGTTAAATAAAAATCTGCTGTAGTCCAAGTAAGTCATCTAAAACATACTTGAGTAAAAGGTACTTAGTCACCTTGTAATAACTTTTTAAGAAAACACTCCCTAAATGCATCACTTAAGAAGGAAAAGTAGTCGTAATTTGAGAAGTATTTTTTATGTATGATGTTAAAGTTCACTGTAAAATCATTTGGATAAAAACCAGAATGAAAGGAGGACTTTCTTGTTTCAAATTTCAAATTAACTTTTCCCTCAGGAACTCACACATATTAAAGACCTCTAACTTTCTAGTTTGTGGAAAAGATCAACTGTGATCATTTGATGATTAGTAACCTCATTGACCAGAAGTTTTAATAGCATGATTGTTGTAAAATAATCTGGTTTTGGCGGGACTTGGACATTTCCAGTAAAAAAAAAATTTAGTTTGCATTTAACCTTAAAATTGAAACACAAGTTTTGTTTTTAAACTGAGATTAAAACTGTTTGTCATTTATTTGACATTTTAATAACCAATATAATTACTTATTTAAAAGCTATTCCACTCTTAAATTCATTTATTGTTTTTTGTTTGTACAAAGGATCTGTGGTTATCTTCAATAAATGGGCATGCCTTTCTTTTTGGTATTCCAGTTTTTCTCAGTCATTTGGTGCATTTCTTGAACCAATTGCTATTTAAGTTGAACTGCTGTTCTTACATTTTGTTTACTTAACATGTACTTCAGACCTTGTTGTATTAACTTAATTGTGTCAAGTTAATTTAACTTAAGTGAAGTTGTTTCAACTTCAAAATAGCAAGCAAATGATCCTCTTAACTCAATTACATCAAGTTAGTCCAACTTACATGAACAGTACAGTTTACTGAGCAGAATCTATGAAACAGATTGCCTTACATAAATTAAGAAACCACAACTAAAGATTTTAAGTTCACAAGATTCAATGTTTTATTTTAACAAAATGATATACTTATCATAGCATAACAGTCAATAACCCAACAGGAACCTGGATAAAGTCTGACATGGCATCTGAATCCTGTAGATAATAAGAAAAGTACAAATTAAAAAAAGAACGAGGTGAAGTTTTGATTTTTTTTTCACAACCTCTGACAAAGGGAATAGCAATACATTCAAGAGACATTGTATAATTCTTTCATCGTTCTCGATGAAAACTGAGAGATCAACAATAAAAGCAAAAGCATATTCTGAAGAAACTAGATCACATTTTTTCACAACAGTTGCTCACTGTCAATTGTTTTCTGAGTAAAACTCAGAAACTGTACAGAATATTGATGGCTGTACAGTTAAAGGAGCAACTGCAATTTTCCAACCTGGTATCAGCTCATTGTTATATTAATGCCATAGATTGTTGCTCAATTGTTCATTATTTTAACAACTAACTGTGTTTTTTCCAGTCTCAATCGCCCAAATATCACCAATACAAATTCTCCACCTCCAAACAAGAATCTTGGGAAGTGCATTGTGAACGACTGAATGCAGGACAGGAGATCCCACTTTCCACTCCACTGGTGAACTCTGCAAAAACAGTCACAGTCAAACCCAGCTCCAGAGGAATTTTGCTGATTTTGGGGTGCCACCGTAAATTGGCCTTTCATTTAATATAAATACATAAACAACTTTGTGTTTGTCAATACAAAAAAAAAAACTAATTATGTAAATACTAACATGTAGAAAATGCTAAGCAACTATGCTCAGATTTGCATAAACATATGCTCACATGTTGCAGAAGTCTAAGAATCTGTTTCCAATCACTTAAGTCTATTTCTTGATACAAAATCAACCAAGCATAAGTATCAATAGCTCATAATATTACTACTTCCACTAGTAAGTATTATTAGGACTACTACTGTTAGTAAAAGTGAAAAGTTCAGTGTTACTCCCATAATTGTAACCAATTGTTCTTAACTAGTTTAACATATATATGTGTGTATATATATATATATATATATATATATATATATATATATATATATATATATATATATATATATATATATATATATATATATATATATATATATATGCACTTTTTATGAAAAAGGTTTCCTTCTTTCATGATGTTGGTTTTCAGTTTCATCAGGCTTTTTTAAGATGTCTTGGTTCCCATTTGGTTCTGATTCAGTTTGGTATGTTTGATCATCAACAGGAGCCACCATGCAGGTATCAGTCTCCTGTTTTATATATATATATATATATATATATATATATATATATATATATATATATATATATATATATATATATATATATATATATGCACTTTTTATGAAAAAGGTTTCCTTCTTTCATGATGTTGGTTTTCAGTTTCATCAGGCTTTTTTAAGGCTTTTTAAGGCAGGCTTTTTATATATATATATATATATATATATATATATATATAGATATATATATATATATATATATATATATATATATATATTATATATATATATATATATGTTAGCTACTATATATTAGCAAACAGCTACTTTACTTCCTCTATTTGTTTAGAAAAAAGCAACTGTGCAAAGAT